AAGGAGTAACAGTAGAAAGGCTGCAGAAAGAGTAAGGAGCCCAGAGGAGGGGGCAAAGGAGGTGAGGGGTGGGGGCAGAAAGTGGAAATGAAAGCAGACAACAGAACATTGCTAAAGAGCAGGAAAGGAGGTGAAAGGAGACAATTTTAAAGAAGAAAAATGTTTGGTCGCTACCCGGATTCGAACCCGGGACCTTTGAATGAGAGGCCAACACCTTAACCTCTAGGCCAATGATTCTCTAGGCCACGAGAGCCCCCTCCACTTTGTTTCTTTTTATACTCGATTCCAAAAATAAAATCAGTTTTTACCTGCGATATTTATTTCTAAATTAGTGCGGCAAGCTTCAAAAGGATTCCTAGCACGTGTCTCACAATTCTAATTGGATTTTGAAATGTTCCCCCCCCCCCTGCCAGCAAACACGACGTACAGAATACAGATATGGTTAACAAGGGGTTAAATATAGCACAGGGAAGAATTTTGAGCTGTACTTTAGGCCTAGTAGTCAAAGAGCCTGAGTGGAAGTTAAATTGGGGGCTCAACTACGTTTTTGCTCTTAACTTATTACGCTGTTTGCACTGTTTTCTCAAATAGGCCACATTCTCATACACACGCACTTGATCGACGGAGGACAAGGAGGTTATAGAAGATCTTTAAGGTCCTTGACCCTGTCTTCGGTCCTTGAAATGAAAAAGAATTCTGCGAATGATTTTGGGCATGGAATGCCCAGCTGGCCTCTTCCGGACTTCCGGATGGCGGGCGGCGTTGTTTGACTGACATTCAAGTCAAGCAAGCACCATGCATGCAGCATGGCCTTGTTTATTTATGTCGTGCTGTTTACAATTGCCTTGTTGAAATAAGGCCCAGACCACGATGATTTAGATTCAACATGCATGATTCTATTCCAGATCTAGTCTAGGTCTAGCCAAGTACAACTAGATTCTAGATCTAAATTTATGACAACGACAGAGCTGCTGCGCAAACTGGCGGCTGTCAGAGCATTCATCTTGCGGCGATCGCAAAGGAGCAATGGCAATATGGGAGCAGGAGCACAGGATTCACCATCACTCAGGTAGATTTGCACAAAAAACTCAAAAGGTAGGCCTAGATTTTCTAAATCTAGATCTAGAATCTAGATCTAGAGTCAATTTAGGTAAAACCGGACAGTAAGCTCTTACCCTACGCCTACGCTATTTGAGCTGTCTGTAATGATAAAAACAAGGCTGTGGGCCAAAAATACGACTGATTGCGAAGTGGAATATGGCAAAATAAACGTCAAAGGTGGCCTGTTTGAGGTGAACCAGCAATTTGTGTACCCTTTAAATATTATCCCGATGATACACATAAATTGTTTGTGGTCACATTTTGCTCAAACCGGCCACTCTTGACACCTTTGAGCTCAAACTGGCCAGCCATTTGCTCAAACCGGCCACTGTCCTTGGTGAAGGAAAATACTATTTTCCTTTGTTTAATCCCATATTTAAGTGATCACCAGCTCATTCTTGGGTGTATTTAGTTACGAAGTGTATACAGACCCGGTAACCGGGAACAAAGTCACAAAGTATACAGACCCGGTAGGGGAACTCTTTGTCTTTTGTGATTTCGGAGGGTTTCAGCGCCCAGACCCGGTAGTGTGTGTGTGTGTGTGTGTGTGTGTGTGTGTGTGAGTTAAAGAGAGAGAGAGAGAGGGAGAGCGCGCAGGGGGAAGTGCTAGCAAAATGTATATAATATGACATGTCTGCCAGTTGGCAGGAAGGAACGAAAGACAGAGACAAACAAAGAAAAAAAGAATGCGAGCAATACAGAGAGAGAGAGAGAGAGAGAGAGAGAGAGAGAGAGAGAGAGACTGCTCGATTGAAATTATGACATTGTTCTTTTCTTCAAATTGTGATTCCTCTAACTCCATAACAGGGGAAAAACGATCGTTCATCGAAAAGACATCCACAATCTTCATTTAGTTTTAGATCTAGAATCTAGATCTAGATCTACAGTCTAGATCTAGGCTAGCCTCGAAACTAGATCAATGATTTATATCTGTCTGTCTAGATCTAGACCTAGGCCATAGATCTAGAAGAACCTAGTTCTACCCTGAGCCAAGAGGGTGCTGAAAGTTTCCGAAATCACAAAAGAGTTCCCCTACCGGGTCTGTATACTTTGTGACTTTATTCCCGGTTACCGGGTCTGTATACACTCCCATTTAGTTATTCAGCTGTCAGCACCAAGTCACCAAGTGGATCTATCGTAGTAGGCAACCCTTCTGCCCAGGCTTTGTCAATTCCTGGGTTCAAATCCTGTTTCAGTATAGATCTAGAAATCTAGATCTAGATTGAGATGTACCAGGCAGTTTGATTTTAGGAGGTTGTTAGAATTTAAGTTATAAGTCTCTCACACAGCCAATCAAACAATTTTATGTCACAAACAGTTCCAAGTCAAGTCAAAATTCAAACTTTATTAAACTTAAACAGAATTCCAACAGAAAAATGATGGACGTAAAGGATTAAAGTAAAAAAAGCCAACAACAAAGGGAAAGCATCTTCTGTCTCTCACTGCACACATACATTACACACAAATTTGAACTCACTCATCTCTTCCTCACTCATACCCAAAATCTTTTCCTTCTCCTCACCCGTACAACTTTTGTGGTACCATCGTCCAAACTCGCACCCAATCCAACCATCTAGATCGCAGTCACTACCACATACAGCACAAACACTTTCATCAACATCATCCATTCCCATGCAAAATAAGTCAACATCCACATCAGACCTGTCATCATACACAACATCATCCTCTTCATCTGAACTAGACTCATCCAGCTTTCTCTTCTTCCCCTTGCTTTTGCCCTTCCCTTTCCTCAACTCCTCCGTCCGTTTCTTCTCCTTCAACTTTTCAGCCTTTTCCTTTTCTCTCTCCAATCGCTTCTTTTCCTTTTCTTCCATCTTCTTCTTGATATTTTCTTCCTTCTTCTTCTTCATCTCTGCTTTTCTCTCCTCCTGCGCCTTCTTCTTTGCAGCCTCATCCTTTTCTTTCTTGTCGTAAAACTCTTTGAACGATATGTGCGAGACATACGAAGGGGGCTGAATACGTGGGGCTTTCGTGGACTTCCGTTGAGAGGAAGTGGGTATGGGGAGGTTGTCGAAAGTGCACGGAGGGACGACTTTGTTCCATAGCTCTAGGTATCTGCCGTACTCCGGCTCAGACGCTGTAGCTGAAATATTTGCAAATTGGCGGCGACGGATATTGGACATATCCACAGATGTCCAGCCGCTAGCGAGGATATGGTCAATGAGTTGGGATAGAGGTGGAATGCAACATTTGACTCATCCCTGATGCTTGCTGGTCGAGTTGGTGTCACTGACGATCCGGCTGTTGAGGCGGAAACTTCTGTGCTAACACCTGCTGATGAAGGAGTTGCAGGGGGTAGGAGAACATCTGTTCCAACATGTGATGATGAAGGAGTTGCAGGGGGTAGGAGTACATCTGTTCCAAGATTTGGCGATGATGGAGCAGCAGGGCGTAGAACATCTGTTCCTAGATCTGGCGATGATGGAGCGGCAGGGCGTAGAACATCTGTTCCTAGATCTGGCGATGATGGAGTGGCAGGGGATAGAACATCTGTTCCTAGATCTGGCGATGATGGAGTGGCAGGGGGTAGAACATCTGTTCCTAGATCTGGCGATGATGGAGCGGCAGGGGGTAGAACATCTGTTCCTAGATCTGGCGATGATGGAGCGGCAGGGGGTAGAACATCTGTTCCTAGATCTGGCGATGATGGAGTGGCAGGGGGTAGAACATCTGTTCCTAGATCTGGCGATGATGGAGCGGCAGGGGGTAGAACATCTGTTCCAAGATCTGGCGATGATGGAGCGGCAGGGGGTAGAACATCTGTTCCAAGATCTGGCGATGATGGAGCGGCAGGGGGTAGAGCATCTGTTCCGAGATCTGGCGATGATGGAGTGACAGGGGGTGAGCAAACTCGATCAGGGTCTTCTTGGCTGGTGGCCTCAATGATGGTGTCAGCAGATGGCATCGTTTCACTTGCGTAAAGAGCACTTGCTTCGCATTTGCTATAGTCGGGTGCATCGGGATTCCATGGACACAAGCCCGATGTCCTGAATGCATTCACTACTTTTTCTGGACTGTACGCTCTCTTCCAGGCATCAGCGAACACAGTTGTAAATGTTTGCTTAGTGACTTGTGCAAATCTGGAAATGGCTTTGTAGTCCCTCACGGCGAGTTTCCACTCCTGTTTCAGGGACCCATAAAAGACCAGATCCAGAGGCTGGATGATGTGGGATGAGTGGGATGGCAAGACATAGATAGTAATATGGTGTGTCTGGCAAAAATTATAGACATCTCTGCTGATGTGACTTGAATGTCCATCGATGAATAGTACCACGGGTCGCTGGAGGTGGTCTACTGCAGGAAAAAAAGTGTACTGCAGCCATTTCATAAATGTGCTGCTGTTTATCCAGCCGTTGGGTGTCAGCGCGTAGTCTACATCAAACTCCTCCCATGGATGCCAGTTCCACCTTGCCCCTGGGAAGATGATGGTGGGCTTTAGGACTTTCCCAGAAGCAGAGATGCATCCCAGCACGGTGACCTGTTTCTTGGAGTCTGAACCATGCTGGTATGGGTGCTTGGACTGAATGTCCGAAATGATCGTACACCCCCCAATGAAGAATGGAAAGCCTGTTTCATTAAAATTGAAGATGTTTTCTGGTGGAATTTCTTCCACATTGATGCCATCGTCGAGGAGGACTTTCTTTGTGTGGTCAAACCACCCTCGAATTTTCCTTTCTGTTACCTGAGGAAACCGTTAAACACACCCTTAATGTGCCATTTATAGAATGCCGTTTTGTGACAGCTTCAATTGAAGTGATACTGTACAGAAAGGTGCTTGTAGTTTGTTTAAAAGTTCCTGTCTTGTGTGATTTTATACCCTTTTTGGGACGATTTTAAAACAATCAGCTTGATTGTTTGTTTTACATTTTATTATTTAAAATTCTAAACTGAATGTGTCTGTTTAAAAAGTGCTTAGTAGGCCTGCTATGTTTCATTAAGGCCCCATCAAGGATGAAAGAGAATTTGCAGGTCTGCGTCGGCACCAAATGACCATTGTTGTGTTGCTGTGCTTCTCTTTACTCAAACAAAGATTATTATTATTATTATTATTTTGCTTACCTGGGCTCGTTGCTCGCCAAGGACCATGGCTTTCCTCTCCCTGATGATGTCCTCATGCTTCTCCATGAAAGCTTTGTACCAACAGAATCCAGGTTTATTGTTGGTGAACTTTGTCTGTCTTCCCTCTGAGTTGAGGATTCCTTGAACTGCTCGGCATAACTGTTCCCGATCTTTACCGTCACCAAGGCGGGCACAGGCCACAACCCACTTGACCAGCTTGGTCTCCTCCTCCTCTGTCAAGACCGTGTGAGCCACTCTCTTGACTGGGTACTTCCCAGAGAGTTTGTCCATTAGAGTGGACCTAGGTACTCCGTAAGTCTGGGCGGCCTGTCTAATAGACAGAGATTTAGACTGTATGGCATCTAATGCCTTCTCAACGCTGGACTGGCTATATTTGCCTGCTGGTCCTTTGGGCTTAGTCATTGCTGTCACCTGTAACAACATAATTGTAGAGATTAATAAACCATTTTTTAAAGCTCAAACGTGCCCAAAACGCAGTCACACACACACACACACACACACACACACACACACATACACACACACACACACACACACACACACACACACACACAAACACAAACATACACACACATATATATATATATATATATATATATATATATATATATATATATATATATATATATATATATACATAAATCTTCATACAGAATCTACATACGTACATACACACCATACCAGCATACCACCGTACACACTACACAAACGTACACGGACACACACACACACAAACACTAGTCACTCAAACATAAAATACATCACTCACGCACGCAACTAGATCTATATCAAGACGTTAATACTCACTCTCACACACGCATGCATGCACACACACATATTCACATTGTATTGTGCTAACAACCCCTGCAAACATTTATTCTTAGCTCTATAATATGTCAAATACTCTTTAAGCACAAGAAAATCTACCCGGCCGGTTTGAGCAAAATCACGAAAATTGTGCTTTCTCAAACCAGCCACCCTACTATGGGGTTAAAATGAAAGGGGAACACCGCCCAGTGATTCGCACAGTCTTCCGACATTCCAATCTTGACTTTTGAACTCGCAGTTGACCCGGAAGCTATCGTAATAAAAACCATCCCGCCTTAGCTAACAACTTCCTTTCATTCATCGTAACCCACAAGCATGGGGGAGAGACTTACGTTTTTGGTGAATCTGCGCCGAAACTTGACCCTTGCTGACCAAACAAAAAGATAGGGACTCCCTCATGGGACGGAAGTACCTTAGCAGACGACTTCGGCACGAATTCAAAATTATGCAACAGTAGACAAGGGTAAACGAAACGAAAATAAACATCAGTGCGGGTCGTGGCCGGTTTGAGCCGCTGTCCGGTTTGACCTAAATTGACTCTAGATCTAGATCTAGATCTAGATTAGATTTGCACAAAAAACTCAAAAGGTAGGCCTAGATTTTCTAAATCTAGAATCTAGATCTAGATCTATTGATTGGATCGGCCGTCTTTATTCGGACTTGAGTCCGAATAACATTTTCGAAGTGACTATTTCTCCGAACAGTTTCCGGCTTCCGGTCTCGTGATTTTTTGCCTATTTATTGCGAAAGTTCGGCGCCAACTTTCATTCTGCCTTTGGTCTGGGAACTGGGAAGGAACACCGCATGGCAAGCCCGCCTACAGACAACCTTCTGTAACACCCACCACACACCCACCACCATCATGCACATGTACATACACAAACTTATGTTGGCAGAAGTTTACAGTCTGTGTTCCAGGTATACGGTGTTCTGCCTGGAAGAATAATAGCATGGGTTTCAGCCATATTCAAAATGAAATTGTACACAAACTGAATCGTCTCCCATGACAAAGCATGCAATGGTTGTCGTTTTGTCAGTTTGTGCACTCTGGCCTCCACCCCAGACGTTTTGTATTGGACATACAAATTTCTTAATTTCCTTTCACCAATATGGTGAAGATACAAAAAAAATGGCCTACATATCTCGTGTCCATGATGCATGTACACTACCTGTTGTTGCTGGCGAGGTGTCTGTGCCTTCTTTGTGCGTTGTGTTTCTGAGCCCAGGTGGATACAGACTTGTATCTTGGCCATGATGGCCACATCCAACTCCTCTTTGGTCAGGCTCATGAAGCTCAAGCGGCAAGACTCAATCTCCTCTTTGGTGTAGCGTGAGAAGCATGGCTGACCGTTGAACCGTTTACAGGTACATGGCTGCCACTCACCTGCCTCTTGATGCTCGGGTGCGGTAGGCCTAAATTCTTGAATCACTGGGGTGAGATCTTCAATGACGCTAGTATATGGTTCATCTTCTTCACCACCATCTTTGCAGAGAAAAGATAAAGAAAAGAAAAATAATAAGTCTCTGTATGGAATGTTCGTTCAACAAGTAAATCAAAATTATGTATCTTCTGACAAGATGAGTAAAAAGAGAAAAAAATACTAGGTGATGCAGTTTGCTGGTGGGCGCTCCAGTGAGCTTTGCTTCTTCTCTCACAACCAGTAACCTACATGTATTTTACTTTTGTCCTTAGCTATCCTCCCTTCTTTTCAATATAAGTCAGTAACTCTAATCCTAGGCACGTTATATATAATATTTTGGGCCTGACCTAAACTGCCGCAAGTGCCATAAAATCTCTACCACACAAACGTATAGACAGATTCAACAGTTTGGTAGATCTAATATAAAAAAATTAAACGGAATTGAGATGTTAATTAGGCCTAAATAATTATAGGGCTGTTCAAAATAATAAGCCTAATTATTATTAAGACACAACACAGCATACGTCATCGACTAAGTTAATTCATAAATTCCTCTTACTAATTTTAGTAGGTGACTAGTGCTAAGTCACATCGTAATTAATTTGTTTGTGCATACAACTACTAGTCTAGTGTAGATCTAAATCAACACGTATCAGGAGGCCTAGGCTTAGACATAGCAGATAGATTGAACTAGAAGCAAGTAGGCATAGATCTAGATCTTATTAGATTCAAGCAGACCAAACAAAAAAGATAAAAGGTGAACTAAGATACTTACCAGAAGGCCCAGCTTGTGCGTGAATCCCACATACAGCAGGAACACTTGCACTTGCTGATGTGGGCATTGGCTCTTGGTCAGCAGACGACAAAGCTTCATCTTCTGATGAGTCCACAACTCATCGTCTGTCAAGCCTTAACTAACGAAATAATCACTGATGACTTCTCGAAGAGCGTTTTCATAGACAAGTCCTCGGAGACCAACTTGATTTGCGTAATTTAGAAGTTCAGCCACCTCACTGGAATCAGTTGTCGTCTCCATCACTATCACAAACCCGGAAGTCTTTTTCCAAAACACAGTAGTCCGTTCGATCTATGTTTCAGTACAATTCACACTGAAAGACACCTCTTACACTAACACTACGAATTTGAATGCAGAATTAATTTTCAATCACAAATTGACACTATAATACTGTTTGTTGCTCCTCACTTTGAATAGTAATTGAAGGAAAGTCGAGATACTAGGCCAGCTGAGATCGGAAAAGGGGGCGTTTCTCTCACAACAACAAAACCGGAAGTCTTTGTCCGAAACGAAGTTGTGTTGTGTTTCAGTCTAATTTACCTTTAAAAACACATCACACGAGCAATAACACTGAATGATTTATTGCAAAATCGATTTCCAATGTTCAATAGACAAAAAAACGCCCGACAATGGTCTTCATTTAGGCTGAAGCTTGAAGTAAACACAAGGAACTCAGTGAGCAGACATGTAGCAGATGCGCAAAGAATACTGTCGCTATAGAAATGGATGTATTCATGCGCACTCGGGTTTACGGTGTAGGGGAGATAATGCTGAAAATTTTGGTATAGAACATGATGGGGTGTGAATGGAAAATTCCGCCGAGATGAGACCAAAATTACCAAAGTATGTTGACCCAATTTCTAGCACATTTCTAGCGTTTGATTAAGTCATGTTGCAAAAACAATTAATAAAAAAATATTTGGACATTGAATATCACAAAACCCTTTGAATATATATATGTGAGGCGTGCTGACAAAATGAGTTACTTCTCGGATTTTGGACATATGGACTTATATACATCAAATTAAAGGGCTTTTCAAGGCCTACAAGTTGGTGAAAAAATTATCTTTCTATCGTTTCTCAATTTCGAAATATGAAGGTTTGAATGAGGGAAGATGTAAAAGTTCAGTTTTGAGAAAATCGAGGTCAAAGTTTCTGAACACATATTGAACAAAACTCCTTAGCAACCATGCCAAAAAACAAAAGTTTTGTCATTTTTCAGTCAGGGGAGGCATTTTCACATTGAAATAAGACAACATTTTCATGCATTAAGTATTTTTTTAAGCACAGTAGGCATTAATATGATAGACCCTAAAGATAATATTCGCGACACTTTGCCAACCCAGAAGCCTTTCATCATTACCTCCATGGCACTGCTTCAAATTACTTTTGGTACTGTCTGTTCTGTACAACATGTGGTGCTTTTAGATGTGTAAGACTGTGTATTTGTGTGAGTGTATGTGTGTGTGTTTGCCAGTCTGTCTGTTTGTTTGTATGCATGCACCACAACCGCTTTCATTCTGTTAGTAGTATAATGTTAGCATCAAGACATGCAAACACAAACAGTAGAAAGAATCCACAAACAGTAGAAAGAGTCAAGCTTCCAAACAACTGTACATAAATCTGACATGAAAGGGGAAACAGGTTGAAAAGTATAAAGAAATAGGAGGGTCACAAAAAGAGACACGAATGACGAGAATTTTTTAAAAAATAGCACAAGACAAATTTTGTCTTACCTTGTCTTGGAGAGAAGCAGTCAATAATCCCACTGAGAAAACACACTAACACACACTACTGGGAGGGTGGAGGGCACAGAATGTCCTTACATTCATCAGAAACAAACTGACGGATGTTGTTGTAGAGATACATCTGCCTGTCCCTGGAGAGCCCTGGCGAACACAACACAGGAGGAAGAGTCACACTGGAAGCCGTAATGGCAGGGTTCAACACCAACCTCTCCTCCTCCACCTCACTCTCCACACTCCTCGTTGCTGCTACATATCCTGGCTTCTCTCCAGAAATAAAAAAAGTGCTGAAGTTTCTTGATACCAGGAAAGGACTTGGACCACGGCTTGAAAAAGGCTTGCCAGTCGTAGGTGGGAACGTACAGGGTGCCGTCCTCCTCCCCAACAAGCTGGGCCCTGTTGATTCCTTTCCTGGTAGAATTGTCCACCACAGATTTAAATTCCCGGAGAGAATTGACACTGGCGTCTGAAGCTTTTTTTCAGGATGCCAAAACACCAGTCTGGGGCAAACTTGGTGTGTCCCGGGAGCAAAAAGTGAAGACTCACTGACGTGTGCTGGCCGGTCAGAACTCGCCAGACAAGGTATTGCAACAAGAACTGATTCTTGTTCTGACCGGCACAGTTATCGCAGTGCAGGTGCACATGCCGTTCCCCCAAGCCAAAATGAGTAAAGAAGTAATGCAGGTAAGAAATCACTGCATTACTCCCCTTACTGGCACACAGACCTTCATCAACCAAGAAGTTGATCTGCTGGGGGATGGCCTCGCAGTTGACCCCAAAGATGCCACATTTACGGGGGACCAAAAAGTAGATGGGCCCTGGCTGCATCGGGTCATGGGGAAGGTGCACCTGCTGAGCGTAGTCAAATGAATAGTGCATGGGTATGTCCCGGCTGTTCTGCTCATGGGGAGCGAGAGTGGAGATGCCTTGAGAGGCAGCTGCTAGCCGTGCACTATCCACAAGACTGTTGTAGTAACTACGCTCCTGCGTCACAGCGAACAGATGTTGTCCCTGGCGGTCTAGAAGATCACTTTTCTCTTCCACCGACAGGCGCCCAGACCTCTGGATAAGCCGGTTGTTCGACTGACAGATCCAGCAGAGATCCGTCATTGGTCTGGCCACCAGCAAAGTAGGGAAGGCCCGCCTCCACACACGCTTAAAGGTCCACACAGACACAAGTCTGTAACCTGCATGAAAAGAGTGAAAAGGAACTATGAGTCCATATCACGTGAAGATATATTTTTGCAGCTTTCGTAAGAGTTTCATGGCACTTGCATCACAAAAAGATCGTACAAGTGCTGAAGATTAGAGGTGTTACTAGAGAGTAGTGTACAACATAAAAAAGAAGAGGGAGAGATAATGACAACATGCTTTATAGGAAAAAAGGAGCAAACCACACTGGTAGAGCACCCGCCAATCACTCACAAAAGAGATGTATAATTTTGAAAATTCAATGAATAAAAATAAAAGCTCCACCTGTTCCCTAACCAGTCTGTAGTACTTTGAAGGAAATGAAGGTGATTATGTTGTTAAAATAATGTCTGCAGTCCGGAAAAGGCTGCGGTCCCAGAAACTAGGTTTTAGATGGGACTGTCCATTCATGTAAAACTGTGCTGTGCTCTCAATGAGAAGACGAGGTAACTTAAATGCAAAAAACTCAAAATCAAACAAGGCACTAGGAATTATACGATCAGTCTACAGAGACTTATGGACAAAATGGAATAATTTTTCATATAACCGTTGTAAATACCTGCAGACCGTGCGGCTGAGCAATACCGCTCAAAAACAAAGTTCTTTGTGTGGGAAGACGGAAGGAGCATCACATCATCAATTGAGAAGGACTGCAGCCTGCCAGGAAGAACAAGGGCATTGTCCTCGGCATAGCCACGCAGGAATCGGACAATGGTGTCCTCCTCGGCGGTGGTCAGGGCATTGCTGTTGTTGCTGCGGCCGCCACTCTGCTTCTTCCTGACTGTCAAGCCATTTTCCTTGAGGTGCTGCTTGACCTTTGTGAGCTTGTTTTGTGAAATTCTGCAAAGTTGGAAGCAATAAGACACCAACATAAATTTAAAAGTTTTACGAAAAAAAAATTTGATCATTAAGAGTGGGAGTTAAAATATGCAGTAAAAACATTTTTAATACGGTAGTTTAAATGAGATTAAGTTTCACTCACCCAAGCAGGAAGAGAAATGTCTTACGACACACCAAACGATTGAGCAGTACATGGGTATTTGTTCTGGACTGCCTCCGACTCATCTGGGTCTTCTGCTTGGAGCACTGCGTGGTTGGTCCATTTTGCATTTGTTGGCACAACAGCATGCCCATTAACACACAGTCCCTCTCATGCTCTGAAAAGAATTAATTTATAATACAATTAAACACAATTACCTATTATATGAATATAAAGCGCCAAACTGAAAAAATGTTTATTTTAAGTTATGATGATTTTTTTGGCCTATCTTGAGCTTTAGAAAAAAAGCAGACTGATGTTTGCCTCAAAATCTATTTATAAGTTTACACATTTGAAAACCAAGATGTAAAGGGCAGACTAGAAAAATGGCACACAATCATTTTTGTTCAGGACCAAGGGAGCAATAAACCCATAAATCTTATGCAGCAATTAAGATGAAACACCAAATCGAAAATGGAAAGAGGTCCGTTCCCAAGGGCCATAGTTCAAGGAATGTGGAGTGTGTGACAATTCAAAAACAAAATTGCTTCCAGGGTCTAAAGGCACTTTCTTGCACAATAAAGTCAAAGGAAAATAGGAAGCCATTTGGCAAGAAACTTAAACAAGAATTTACACATTCACTTTAGCTTACCTCCTGGAAGAGACCGAAACTGCGATCTGAAGTCCACAATTTCTTGCACAGTGAACTGGGCACAACACCCTTGTCTGTTGTCGAGAGGGGAACTTGGGGCGGCCTTAATCTGCTTGCACCCACAGCTGAACTGGGCTACCAGCGCCTCTTCTCGTAGTTCCGCATCAGTTGGAACGAGGGCCTGTGCTGCAGGGGATGTAGCGCTCGGTTCCACTTGGACCAGAGGTGGATCAGAGGTATCAGACTCTGGTGATCAAGATAAAAACATCTAGTTATTTTCAGTTCACTGAAAGCATTCGGAATGAATCTTTGCACTAATTACTTCTTGATGTGAGGGTAACGTAATGCCAGGTTTCAGACAGCTCGGTTTCTCATCGTAAAAAAGTAAACGATGTAAAATAATGATGGAAGTAGTAATACTTCAGTAGCCCATATAAGAAACTCATTTGAAATGAGCTTTACGTGAAACGTTTGATTAAGATTGACAAATCATAAGTAGACAAGAAATCTAGATCTAGATATCTAGACCAAGCTAGATTCTAATACAGGGTGCCCACTACAGCTGGATCGGGCCGATCGCCCGACTCGATCGCCAGAAACTGAAAACAAACACGTATGTTTATGAGGCAATCGGCCCGATCGGCGGATCACATCCGTAGTGGGCACCCTGTATAACATGTAATCTATTTACAAACTAGAATCTAGATCTAATCTAGATCTAGAAATCTAGATTCTAGGTCTAGATCTCTAGATCTAGATCTAATTAAGTCTAGAGATCTAGATCTAGATCTAGGTCTACAATCTAGAACGAGACACTTATGTAGATCTAGAATTAGCCTACATTCACAGATACTAGATCTAGAAATCTAGATCTAGATCTTAATGAAAGTGATTGAAAACATTGTATAAAACCATAATCCTTCAAGTGGCATCATAGTTGCTTACCTCGTGATGAGACAGAGTTCCCATCCTCGTCATCACTGTCCATCTCCCCACAAGAAGAATCAGAATCGCGCTCGTCTTCATCGTCAGCAGTAGTTGTGAAGTACTCATTCAAGAGCTGATTCGCCTCATCCTCGTTCATCCCACATTTCTTGGCAGAATTCAACATTTCTGACACGTATTGATCCATGTTGACGGTCAAAATTCAAGAATACAACGGCAAAAACGCTTCACAGGACCTTTCAGCGATATCGAGAAAGAAAGAATGGGTAGCGGCTTAGCGTCTTAGCGTCTAGATCTACCGATGCCAAGCGGAATCATGAAGCTTGAGCAGTATAAAATGCCCATGTGACCCTATTGAGACCAATCACATTTCGCGTAGCGTGCAGTTGATAGGGTCAGTCCCAAAATTGTTTACGATATAAAATGAGTTCTCATTGGATGGTTTTGAAAATGTGTGGTAGGAGTTAGCCACTAGCTGTTTCAGCTTTTCAAAACCTTTACACTGATACCAAATATGTTGGGGTTCCTTCTGGGATAACTGCGTTTGAGCGTCAGAAAGACGCACTTACTTTTACCTTTTTTAAAGCTCAGAAAGTACTTTTTGGAAATAGGGTGCCTTGAAAACACTCCATTTTAGTCATTTTAAAGGCTGAATTTATGCAATTTATTAATGTGAAATGATAAAAGACATGTTCAACTTGAAGAAAATGACCCTAGCAGAACATCGACAATTTTGACCCCCATCTCGATTATCGGCCGATATCTCCACTCGCGGATTGCGAGAAGTAACTCATTTTGTCAGCACGCCTCACATATATAACTGCCACTGCAATGATTACTACATAATCTGTAGCAGCCATTTTATTCCCTTACCTTAATAATGATTTGTGGGTACACAAATTAATTAGGTCCTAATAGATTTTAACTGCCAAAAAGAAATTACACTCTAATTGAGTTAAACATTTTGTTTTGATTTACAAACTGATAATATGTAGAGTTTCTATACTGGTGACCGCAAATGTGATCTGAAGAGGCAATGTTCTGAGTCAAGAAATTAATGATTCATTTAAGTGACAATATACCTTCTGACAGACTTTTGCAATGAATGATTCCTTCAAGTGACAATATACCTTCTGACAGAGTTCATTCAAGTGACAATATGTGTCACGACGCAGAGGAATCAGGCGCTCGTCAATTTTTCGGCATGTGCAGTTATTGCTATCATCTTATAGCCTGTTCATTTGCATTGTTTGGACAAACAAAAATACTCTTTTAACTTGAACAGAAGTCAGGATATTTGCGATTGAAGTAGGTGGGGTCGCCTTGTTTCAGAGGTAAAATTAGCGAGAAAATGGCCGCCAAAGTTTGGTCACTTCCATAGCTTGAAAGTCCTTAAAAACTTAAAATTTACACTTTTGGTGCCTTTAATCAACATTATTCGATAAAATCAATACAGAAATGTTTTTTTTAATCGACATAAAAGATGTTGAGCCAAAAAACAAAAATTCAATAAAATTTGCCAAACCAGCAGAAAAATGCCAGTTCCTTCGATTTCATTATTTTGACGAGCGCCTGATTTCACCACGCTGCCTCACATTGATCTATACCTCCTTACAGAGTTTCACGAAGAAAGATCCATTAATGTTTCCCCATTACCTTATTGGTGAGGTAGCGCTTGCTGGCGACAGAGGGAAGTCTCAAGACTTTGGTCAGGGCATCGCGAACACTCAGCTTCTCCGGGTACACGAGAGGGCTGAATTCTTGCTTCACCTTCTTCATCTCAAACACCTAAACATGGGAGTTTTTGTTTTAGTAAGTGCTTTAAGGCACTTGCAACCCAATAAGGTTATAAAAGTGCCAAAGATTAGAGGTGTCACAAGAGATCAACAAACACAAAAAAGAAGGAGGGGAGATAATGACGATAGATGTTTGATAAGAAAGAAGGAGCAAACCACACCAGAGCACCCGCCAACCACCTGCAAAATACAGTAAAAGTTCCCTGAAACATACTTCAACTATTAATTACTCAAAGGCGGTGCCATTAGGGGAAGGATGGGGGGGTGGGGGGGGTGGGGGGTAATCTAAAAAGTAAAGATGTATTATTCAGTATCTCCCCTGTCGCTGCCATTTTTAAAATCTAGAACACATCACAGCTAACTCTCCTCATCATGAAAATACATTTATTTTTTTAAAAATCTTTTTAATATAAAGGAGATGACAGCATATAATATAATATAGATGAGTGAGCAGGGCTTTAGGTTTCTCATAATATCATTTACAAATGGTCGTTTTTAAGGACAAGTGGGCTAACTCAGATTTCGGGGGTTTTCAAAAAGCTTGACCTACACCAAAAGTGGACATTGCCCTACCTATAGGAGAAGTTTGGTTTCAATGGCGTGTGTATTTGTTTGGTTATAGAAAAAACTCTTCTCGTCTTTTAAAGAAACTAAACAAGGATTCAAAAACTTTATCTTCGATTTTCTCAAAACAACATTTTTCGGGATAGCCCCCTTGTGCTTAAACGTGACCAAATACAGTCAGACCTGATCTAACAGTCACTGTATAAGACGATCACCTGTACAAACAGGCACTTCCTATTTCTCCCCACCCCCTCCCCCTCACCTCCCCCGCCTTTTTTACATTATAATGACACTGCTGTATAAGACATCCACTTTTCAACAAGAACCACTGTACTGTTTTTCTTCAACAAAAGGTGGCCGTCTCATACAATTCTGACTGTATACACAAAAAAACTCTTTTGACAGAATTCCCCGATCTCCCCTCGAGAGACAATCTGACCTTCCGAGGCATGGAGCCCAGGACATGTTCCAGCTCAAGGTCAACAGGCTTCCGGCCGTTGTCTCCACCTTTCACGTCTCGGCTGAAGTTCTCCAGCTGAATCTGCAACAAGACAATGACAAAGAGAATATGTTTTTATTGAGACAAGAGGATCAGTTTTAGTAAGAGTTTTACGGCACTCGAAACTGTATAAGGTCATATGAGCGCCAGAAGATTAGAGGTATTACAAAAGAGTAACAAACATAAAAAAGAAGGGGAGATAAGGACGAGATAGGAAAGAAGAAGCAAACCACACCAGAGCACCCACCAACCACCCACCAAGGCAGAGTCTGAAGTTCACCTCCTAAATTATCTAGTGTCAGCAGGGACGTAAAAACACCAACTAACATACCCACACACAACACACACACATCTGCTGAGTCTACTCACCCTGCCCGTCCCTGTCACCGTGCCAACGTGACTGACCGGGCAGCGCTCCCGCCGGCCGATAGCCGTGACCAAGGGCAGGTCACTGTGGCGCACCAAGGCCGCGTTACTCTCCTGGTACTCCGCTCCCCACAGCTCCATCACGCTGATGGTCGGGTCGCCCAGCTGGAAGCGATCCGCGTGGATCACCCCGCCGGCCGGCTCCACGATCTCCTTCAGCACATTGCCTGAATCATAGAAGAAACAGAGAAATACATGTAAAAACTGCCTGAACAGTACAAGAAACAGAGAAATAAATGTAAAACACTATCATTAGAGAAATACATGTAAAAACACTATCATCGGAGAAATACATGTAAAAACACTATCTCCTTCAGCACATTGCGGCTCATTGCCTGAACCGTACAGGAAACAGAGAAATACATGTAAAAACACTATTGTCTGATCTGTACAAGAAAGAGAAAAATACATGGAAAAACACTATCATCGGAGAAATATATGCAAAAACATTTATCTCCTTCAGTACATTACCTGAACCATACAAAAAACAGAAATACATGTAAAAACACTATCCTCCAGAATTTTGTGTTCTTCTGGGTTTTTTTTTTTTTTTATCTAGGAGTTTTTAACATGCCATCAACACTCTAGCCTAGCATGACATCGACTGAGCTTAACATGCCATCAACACTCTAGCCTAGCATGACATCGACTGAGCTTAACATGCCATCAACACTCTAGCCTAGCATGACATCGACTGAGCTTAACATGCCATCAACACTCTAGCCTAGCATGACATCGACTGAGCTTAACATGCCATCAACACTCTAGCCTAGCATGACATCGACTGAGCTTAACATGCCATCAACACTCTAGCCTAGCATGACATCGATTGAGCTTAACATGCCATCAACACTCTAGCCTAGCATGACATCGACTGAGCTTAACATGCCATCAACACTCTAGCCTAGCATGACATCAACTGAGCTAACAGGCACAAAAACATCAGTAGGCCCGATCGTACACACCAACCAAACCACGCTAAGGCAGACCTGCCAACCCCTCCATGAACAAAAGTAAGAATTTTCCTCAGAATCCTCCCTATATATCAGAGTTTAGGGGGGAAAAATATTTTGCAGAACCCAGCAGATTAATAAAATGTTACAAACAGATTGAGGCACATTGCAAGTACACGCATATGTACATGTGCATTTTCATGTCATTTATTAGTTGCAAATATTGCAAATATAAATGTGTATTTTTCCATCATTTACTATATATGGTGCACAACCAATGGAAACAGAATGTAAGAAAACATAGGTATTTTATGCAAATCTTCCTTAGGTTAAAAAAAAACAACAATCTAATAAACTGTCGGGCTCTAATTTCATCAGAGTATGTGGTAAGTTTGCTTTGAAGCAGTGCCCGTTAGAGGGTCAGTTCAGTTCTGTTCAGTTAAGTTTGGCTTCTGGCGGTTCCAGTGCACACTATAAATAGACCCCTGCCTCAAACGAATCGCCCCACTCCCTGCCTTGAAAAAAACGTGTTTGTTTTGTAACTCTTTATCTCCGAGGGGGGTAAACCCACTATGCCAGGGCCCTTTTTTTTAGGTAAATCTAAAAATGACAAAAACATCATTAAATGGGTCATAAAATCGGAACTACCAAACCTATTTTGATAGTTCTTCATCTAATGAATGAACTTACGGTAAAAGAGACCTGTTTTCGGCAATTGTCGAAAAGTCATTTGATGTCAAAGTCGTAAAGGAATGTGCCCGCGGCTCACCGGTTCCGACCGCGAGCCGCTGGGAGCGGCTTGCCGGATATAAAGAGTTACGGTTATAATCTGTTCCATTCGGTTTGTGCCACTGTGGTAGGTTTCTTCCCTCCATGAAGGATTATATCTGGCGAGCCCAACCCACTAAACCGAACCAAACCACCGATCTCGCCAATGACATGGGTCTCAACTCAGAATTTCAAAAAAGGAGGAACTTTCCTTTCCGCGTGATCGCAACAGAAGACCATTTTCGCGAGACACCCATTATTATTAAACTGTTTAACCCTAGAATGACAAAATAAAAACCATCAATTTATCAAAGCAACGTTATTTCACACCAATTTGAGGGTTTGGAAGATAATTTCCAGTAAAAGAGTCAATTACCAAATATTTACAATCTTGAATATGTACAGAAAGTGGTGACGCATTACTGCGAGGTGCCCCTCCCAGCTCAACAGTTTAGCAGAGGAAATGACAGTAGCGGAAATCCGCTAAATAGCGGAAATCCGCTAAATAGCGGAATATTGACCAATGCAACGAGCAGGGCGGGTATTCGAGGGAACTCCTCCACCATGTAGGACGCACCATTCCCTCCAGCCCCCTGGTCGTGGATGCTGCGGATCGGGTTCTTCTCCCCCAGCTCGGCGCACGCCCGAATGACGCGGTTCATCTTCTGCTCCATCTCCGCGTCGCCACGCTGCACGGCGCTGAAGTCGCGCGCCGCCTGGTTGTCTCCCTGCACCTGCACCGAGGATGCTGCCCCGCCCCCGAGGCCGATCCGATACACGGGGCCGCCGATCTTCACAATTTCCATGGCTGGAACAAGGAACAGACAGATGCTTCAGGTCATTCATTTGAGGTCGAAAGAGATGCACACTAACACAATAATCGCTTGGGGTTTGTTTTTGTTTTTTGTTTTTTGGGGGGGGGGTTTGGGGGGGGTCGCAAGAGTTTCACAGAACTTGCAACACAATAAGGTCATTTAAGTGCCGAATATTAGATGTGTTACAAGAGAGTAACAAACACAAAAAAGAAGGTGGGAAATAAAGACGATAGAGCAAACCACACCACAGCACCCGCCAACCACCAACTCGTTAGTCAAAAAGACAGACACAAGAAAGGAAAAGAAAAAGGACCTACCAGCACACCCCTCCCCCCCCATCAAACAACCTTTAATGAATTGCAAAACTGACCCATAAAAAGGGGTCTTTTTACAAATGCATCATCTCTGCTTCAATTGAGAAACAGACGTAAATAGCTAAATTGATCCGTTTTTTTCTACAGGATGTCAACTTTCCCTCAGTACAAACAAAAGTAAGTAACAAAAACTCAAAACTGATCAAACAGTTGGGTTTTTTTTGTTTTTCTTCTAAATGGTGTCAACTTTCCCTCTAAGAAAAAAAGGCAAGTAAGTTACAAAACTTATCACATGAGCAGATTTTGGCTAAAATTGCATCAAATCGGCCTAAAAATACAAACAAAAGCTAGCAGTTAGTTAACAGTACTGAACAAAAGTAAGCGTGTAGTTTACAGTACTGAAAAAGAGCTAGTAATAAGTTAACAGTTCCGAAGAAAAGCTAGTAATAAGTTTAAAATATTGAACAAATAAGAAGTAATCTCTCAACAATGACGCCAACTCCCTCACATTTCTCGGGCACGTCTTTCGTCACATGACCTCCGTCCAGCATCCCGATACCCCCGCTGAACATGATTGGCTTGACGTACTCCCTCCGCTCGCCGCCGGCCGTCACGAGCCCACATGAGCGAGCGAACCCCGTGATCACCGGCTCACCAAACTTGTTGCCGTAGTCCGACGCACCGTTGCTGGCCTCGATGAGAACGTCCAGGGGCCGCGCAAAGTTGGGAGGGTACTTCTCCTCCTTGTCTTCCCACTCCAAGGGGTAGCCTGGGAGGGGAGGAGGAGGGGGTGAAGAGGAGGGGGGTGAGGAGGGGGGGTGAAGAGGAGAGGACAGGGTGTAGAGGGGTGGATGGGGAGGGGAGGGGGTGAAAAACGCCGGAAGAGGGGTGGGGAGGGGAATAATCCGTTAGATTCTTATTAGCAACTCAAATAAAAACCTTATGATGCTCCCAGACACTCAAATTGAGCTGACAACAATGATCCTTTTATTATCTAAAAAAAAAAGAAGAAATAAAATGTAAAAACGCAACCACATTTTCCCTTGCGACAGTCAAAGATAAGAGTAAAATATCAGCTACATTCCAATATTTTCAAAAAAATAACGTATCTCCAGCCATCCCCCC